TCAAATGAGCGGCAGCTGCCAGTTTGAGCTACTGGTGGGTTCCTGGAGTGTGCGCTCAACCTGCAGTATGGCGGGAATAAGACCTCTGCAAGTGGCACATTAAGCTGCATGGTGGATTTAGACTTTGCTAGTACAAAACAAAAAAAGAGGTTTCTGGGCTATACGCTGCTTGGATAAAAGCATAGACCCACGATAGCTCCCAGAGCTGGTGGTAAACCACCGCCATGTTGGAAAGCTGAGGAGACAGCAGCCACAGCTGCTGCAGCTTAAAGCAATAGATTCACAATAAGACAGATTCAGATGTAATAGTTTAAAATGTGTGTAAAATATACGTAGGCTTGAAAGAGACAAAAAAAGGTGATATATACAGTATAAAAACAAATACATAGTTTTAAAAAATAAAGTCTTTAAAGAGACAGTAAAATTAATATAAAAAATAAGCCACGTGAAGATAAACATTACACAGAGAATCTGGATTGTGCTGTCTTTGGGATTCTTAACTACAGAAAGATATTTGATTGTAAAGGAAGCTGAGTTAAACCAGTATGTATATTTTAAAGATACTTTGACTTCAAAATTTGGATGTAAGGATATGTTGCTTTGGAAAAGAGTCTCTTTTGTTTCCACAGAAAACAAGAGGCTATGGATTTGTTCCAGATTAAGACACATCAGGTTTGACCAGCCAAGACCACCTGAAAGGTCTCTGATGACACCATGGCCCAGATGATCCAACATCCAGAACCGTTTCTTGTCATAAAGGTTTTTCACTTGCTTGGTTAAAGTTAACTCAAGATATTTTATATTATTTGTGGCTATTGTAAAGGGTGTTGTTTCCCTATTTCTTTCTCAGCCCATTTTTCGTTTGTATATACAAGGGCTACTGATGTTTTTAAAGACAATCTTGTATCTAGCCACACCAATGAATGAGTTTATCAGCTGTAGGAACTTTCTGGTAGGATTTTTTGGGTCATTTATGTATATTATATAATCTTCAAATAGTGAAAGTTTGACTTCTTCTTTTACAATTTGTATCCCATCCCCTTGATCTCCTTTTGTTGTCTTATTGCTCTAGTGAGAACTTCAAGTACTATATTGAATAAATATGGGGAGAGTGGACAACCTTGTCTTGTTCCTGATTTTAGAGAAATCTCTCTGAGTTTCTTTTTATTTAATTTGATGTTGGCTGTTGTAAATTGCCTTTATTATGCTTAGGTATATTTCCTGTATTCCTGATTTCTCCAAGACCTTTATCAGGAAGGGGTGTTGGATTTTGTCAAAGGACTTTTCAGCATCTAATGAAATGATCATGTGGTTTTTTTCTTCCAGTTTGTTTATATGTAATTGTCTTTCTTTGTTGCATCTTTATGTGGTTTGGGTATCAGGGTAACTGTAGTCTAATGAAGAGTTTGGTAATATTCTTTCTGTTTCTATTGTGTGGAACAATTTAAAGAGTATTGGAATTAGCTCTTCTTCGAAAATTTGGTAGAGTTCTGTGCTGAAACCATGAGATCCTGGGCTTCTTTTGGTTGGGAGACTTTTAATGACTGTTTCTATTTCCTTAGAGGTTGTTGGTCTATTTAAACAGTTTATCTGGTCTTGATTTAACTTTGGTTTGTGGTACCTATCCAGAAAATTGTCCATTTCTTTCAGATTTTCCAATTTTGTGGAGTACAGGTTTTTGAAGTATGACTGATGATTCTCTGGATTTCCTCATTGTCAGTTGTTATGCTTCCCTTTTCATTTCTGATTTCATTAATTTGGATTTTTCTCTCTCTCTCTCTCTCTCTCTCTCTCTCTCTCTCTCTCTCTCTCTCTCTCTCTCTTTCTCTCTGCTTTTTGGTTAGTCTGGATAAGGGCTTATCTATTTATTGATTTTCTCAGAACCAACTCTGTTTTATTGATTCTTTGTATTGTTCTCTTTGTTTCTATTTTATTGATTTCAGCTCTCAATTTGATTATTTCCTGGTATCTATTGCTCCTGGGTGACTTTGCTTCTTCTTGTTCTAGAGCTTTCAGGTGTGCTGTTAAATCACTACTGTGAGATTTCTCCAACTTCTTTATGTGGGCATTTAGTGATATGAATTTTCCTCTTGGCACTGCTTTCATAGTGTCCCATAAGTTTGGGTATGTAGTACATTCATTTTCATTGAACTCTAGGAAGTCTTTAATTTCTTTCTTTATTTTTTCCTTGACCCATTGCTGATTAAGTTGAGCATTATTCAGTTTCCATGAGATTATAGGCTTTGTGTAATTTTTGTTGTTGTTGAAATCTAGCTTTAAACCATGGTGGTCTGATAGAATACAGGAGGTTATTTCAATTTTTCTGTATCTGTTGAGATTTGCTTTGTGACCAAGTATGTGCTTGATTTAGAGAATGTTCCATGGGGTGCTGAGAAGAAGGTATATTCTTTTGTGTTAGGGAGGAATGTTCTGTAGATATTGATTAAGTCCATTTGAGTCATAACATATGTTAAGTCTCTTGTTTCTCTGTTAAGTTTCAATCTGGCACATCTGTCCAGTGGTGAGAGTAGGGTGTTGAAGTCTCCCACTAGTAACATGTGGGGTTTAATGTGTGATTTATGCTTTAGTAATGTTTCTTTTGCATATGTGAGTGCCCTTGTATTTGGGGCATAAATGTTCAGAATTGAAACTTCATCTTGGTGGATCTTTCTTGTGATGAGTATGTAATGTCCTTCTTGATCTCTTTTGATAGATTTTAGTTTGAAGTTTATTTTGTTGGATATTAGGATAGCTACACAGCTTGCTTCTTAAGACTATTTGATTGGAAAGACTTTTCCCAGCCCTTTACTCTGACGTACTGTCTGTCTTTGAAGTTGAGGTGTGTTTCTTGTATGCAGCTGAAAGATGGGTCCTGCTTTTGTATCCATTCTGTTAGCCTGTGTCTTTTATAGGTGAATTAAGTCCGTTGATATTAACAAATATTTATGACAAGTGATTGTTAATTTATGTTATCTTTTGGTGGTAGTGTGTGTGTATTTCTCTTCTTTGGAATTTACTGTGGAGGGGTTATCTATTGCTCATGTTTTCCTGGGTATATCTGACTTCTTTAGGTTGGAATTTTCCTTCTAGTGCTTTCTGTAGGACTAGATTTCTGGATAGGTATTGTTTAAATCTGGTTTTGTCTTGGAATGTCTTGTTCACTCCATCTATGGTGACTGAAAGTTTTGCTGGGTATATTAGTCTAGGATGGCATCAATGGTCTCTTAGTGTCTGCATTATATCTGTACAGGTCCTTCTTGCTTTCAAAGTCTCTGTTGAGAAGTCAGGTGTTATTCTGATGGGTCTGCCTTTATAAGTCACTTGGCCTTTTTCCTTTGCTGCTCCTAATATTCTTGCTTTATTCTGTATGTTTAGCTGTGTAATTATTATGTGGCAAGGGGACTTTTTTGAGGGGTCTAGTCTGTTTGATGTTCTATAGGCTTCTTGTATCTTCATAGTTATTTCCTTCTTTAAGTTGGGAAAGTTTTCTTCTATGATCTTGTTGAATATGTTTTCTGTGCCTTTGAGTTGGTCTTCTTCTTCTTTTTCTTCTTCTTCTGTCCTTATTATTCTTAGGTTTAGCCTTTATATGGTGTACTAGATTTCCTGGACTTTTTGTGTTATGACTTTTTTGGATTTGGTATTTTCTTTTACTGAGAAATCTATTTCCTCTATTGTAGCTTCAATGTCAGAGATTCTGTCTTCCATCTCTTTTATTCTGTTGGTTATGCTTGCTTCTGTACTTCCTGTTCATTTACTCAGATTTTCTATTTTCAGCATTCCCTCTGTTTGTGTCTTCTTCATTGTTTCTTTTCATTTTTCAGGTCTTGAACTGTTTCCCTCACATGTTTAATTGCTTTTTCATGGTTTTCTTGGCTTTCTTTAAGGGATTTATTGATTTCTTCCAATTTTTTGTTTGTCTTTTCCTCAATTTCTTTAAGGGAATTTTTCCTTTTTTTTGAAAGGCCTCTAGCATCTTCAGAAGCTATTTTTAAGGTCACTTTTTTTCTGCTTCTTCTACATTGTGATGTTCAGCTCTTGCTGTTGGAGGAAGGCTAGGTTCTGGTAATGCCATATTGCTCTTTATGTTGTTGTATGTATTTTTGCATTGACGTCTGCCCATCTCCTCCTCTAATAGGTGTAAGAGGTGCCTGTGTCTGAGTGAGTTGCTATTGGTCCACTCTGTGCTTGCTGTGTCTGTGTCTCAGGGGGCCCCTCTGGGTTCAATCTTGGCTCTTGGTCTAATTGGAGCTGGCAGATTCTGTATCTCAGAGAGCTGCTCTGGGCCCAATCCAAGCTAGCTGATTCTGTGACTCAAGGAGCCGCTCTTGGTCCAAATAGGGCTGGCAGATTCCCTGTCTCAGGAAGTTACTCTTGGTACAATGAGAGCTGGCAGTTAGGTTTCCATGTCTCAAATTACTAGGGTCACAGGCAGATGGGTATTGGGGCAAGGTGTGGAACTTTTAGAACCAGAACAGCCTACCAAAGACAATGCTACATTCCTGACCATTGGCTGATAGACTTATTTTGCAAATGAACTCTAGTGTCTAACATTTTCATCTGTAGAAATTACTGCTGTAGCTACTTCCCTGTGTAATATTTCTCAGCACAGAAACTTGACTTGCTCATAATGCATTTTTAATTGTTTTTTTTTTTTTTTGTCTAATTTTATTAACCATTATCAAGTTACACTTACAAAACTGTAGCTTTTATTAAAGGTTTTTGTTAGAGAATTACTAATTCCTTATACTAACTCATGTGTTTATGGGTTTTTTGTTGTTGAAATATAAGGGTCTTGATCTGTAGTCTAGGCCAGCCTCCAACTCATGACCCCACCTCAGCCTCCCTGGTGCTGGGAGTACCGACATGCACCACCACTCCTGCCTGTGTTCAGTTTTTATGGAGATGAGAAGAAAGTAGAACGTCGTGGACCGTGATGCAGAGGGGACAATAATTCTGCTGGGGACTGGAGAGTAGGAAGAGGTGAGACAGGCAGAAGATGAACCATTTACCCCGTTTATGATCATTTTATAGCTGCATAAACCAAAGCACAAACGTAAGGCACAGTGAGTCATAACTCAGCACACAACCCGCCACTGCCCGACAAGCAGGAAGCAAACTGGGCCACCGCAGGGCTTTGCAGGTCCTTCCCTCCTAATGTAACCAGAGGCTGTGGCGTAAACTCTGGGGTGCAGCGTGTCGGGAGAGATGCCTCAAGACCACCTGCCTTCACCTCCTAACAAGTTAGGGTCTGAGGGGGTGGCACCGTCTCAAAGTTTGTTAAAAACAAGCCAAGAGGCAGAGGTCAGGCCAGCATGTTTCAGCAACTATCAACTAAGACTGGTTTGGGAAACTAACTGATAGTGTCATTAATTACGCAATCTAAAGATAAACCTCTAAGAACTAAGCCACATCGTTTGCACCCATGAAGGGAGCTAGCTCACGACTCCAAGGAAGACTCCATACTTGCTGAGCCTTACAAATTTCAGTCCAACTGAAACTGACTCAAACTTTGAATATTCAGTTAAAAATCCAGCTTGACGTTGAACTTACTGAGAGGTCCACTGGCAAGTATCTACAATTATGCTCACCTATCCATGTTTGAAACGTACACACTGAAGACGGAAAACCCCATGCTACTTAGAAGGCCAGTTTATAAGTGTTCATTTCTAAAAGCTATGAGAAGGCTTTTAAAAGATCAGCATCTAAAACATTGTCCACGTTTCTCTTTATCCACATCTGGTTATAAATCAGTTATACATATAAAAGGTTCTTAACACGTCTGTAGGACTATTTCTCAAAATTCGCTTCATATTACACAACTTTGTAAAGGAATAACCTAGTGAGGAGAGAGAGGGTCAAACCTGGTTCACTTCAACTGTCCAGCTTTCTACCGTGACTTCAAACGGTGAACAAAAGTAGACTGTGAGCAGTTCATCCCCAGCTACCCTGCCTGATGCAGAGAGGGCTGAGTGTGACACACCCAAGGTGCCAGCCACGTGGGGAGTCACGAGGGACCAACACCTGACGGAACTACAAATTCACTCGGCAACTAGTGCTACTTTGTGACCAGAGCAAGTTAGTAACTACTGAAAAATGCAAGAGTGGCTTGTGGTAAAAGTAAAAACCCAAGATTCAGAGTAGTACATTCAACACTTCCCATAAAATCGTCTCAACAAAGGAAATCCACAGTGCCTCCATCTTGCTCCTTTTATTGCACACTCTGAGCCATCCTAGTGTGGAATTAATGGGCAGGTATGTTAAATGCGAGGCAGGCATTGCATGAGGCAATGTAGGGTACTTCAGTCTGAGGCTGTTAGGATTATTAGCTCCAAAGACAATTAGTCAATACTTACCCTTTTTTTTTAAACAAATGTCCCAAAACCAAAAATCTCAAGGAACAAATTAACTCCCCTTTTAATGTGGAACACCTTTATTTTTTGGTTTTTTTGAGACGGGTCTCACGGGCTAGGCTGGAGCTCATTATGTTATGTTGACCAGGTGGGCCTTGAACTCACACAGAACCACCAGCCCCTGCCTCTCTGTGCTAGGATTAAAGGTGTGTGTTATCATGCCATGCTAAATGATGTCTTACCAAAGCACTGGGCTTAGCACTGGTCAGTGTATGTGAAAGAAGCCCGGTGAGGAGGGGAGGGCGCTAATTTAACTCATAATAAAAACATCCCAACTTCAGATCTGACTGTGATAGACAGCATAAGAACGAAGAAAGATTTTCCCCTAATAATTTAAAATATAAATAGTTGTTTTAAGCCCCACTAAACAAGATGTCAAGAGTTCCTGATTGACCTTTAGGGTAGCACTTTCTAGACAGTCCTTTGGTTCTACGGTGGGACAGAGGCTGCCTGCTGTTTGCTCTCCAGTCCTTCACAGCCCTCCTCCATTTCAAAGTTGATATTCACAAACGAGCTGGCCACCGCTGTTTCCGGTTGATCTGTCTGTACAGTGCAGTCAGCCTGCATCTTGTTTTGCTGGTACTGTCTTTCTGCTTCTTCAGACATCCTATTTTCTTCTTCCTCCTCCTCCTCCTCCTTCTTCATCCGGTAATACTCATCAATGGCATATTGGTATTTTGGGGTGCTGATGCCCAAAACAGATGCAATCTTCTCTCCAAGAAAGTCACACACTGAGAGGGTTGACGTGGCAGCCCGAAGCATGTAAAACCACAAGTAGGGGCCCCAGGGAAGCTTTGTCGGGTCAACAGTGGGCAGCACCTCTTTCTTCTCCAGGCCGTCCACTTCGTCCTCATCGGTGCTGTACTCTTCCATGGTCTCTCCACTGACGAAGTGGATGACCCTCCTTGGAACTTTCTTCTTTTTTCCGATGACTCCCAGCTCTACATTCTCAAAGCCTCTTTCATTACTCATCTGCCGCGTCGCGTCTCCGAACGCCGCGGCGGCCGCCGCCTCCGTTTCTCCCGCCGCCGCCGCGCAGCCCGGCTCTCGGTCCATCGTCACGCCGGCCCGGGCAGCGGCCACACGGAGGGTGATCGAAGGGACGCTCCCCACCGCCCGCGCGGAGGCTCACTCGGAGGCTCGCACACCGGTGCCCGCCGGGCCCGCAGCACACAGCCCACCCTCCCGGGGAGGGCGCGCCTGGACTTTTAATTGTTTTTTAAGGGAAGTATGAAATGTGGTGGATATAGATATGTGAGAAATTCCTGTAATGCAAAACAGACATGGACTTTTTGCCATCTCTAAGGTCTTCTTAGAGAAGACAATATATTTTCATCTCTCATTTGGTACCAAATAACTGTAGGTCTATGATCTTCATAGAGGAAACCCAAAAACAATCTGATTGGATACTTAAGGGTTTACTGAAGGCCTCAAAGGGAATGTTCCTCTAATTGCCTGTTGGCTGTTGGGTACTACCTGAGGGCCTTGGAAGCTGACATCCTCTGCCTTGCTCAGATCATTGCATTGCTACAAACTGTTGCAAAACATCACCAAGAAGATGTTGTCATGGACTATGAGCATTATAGTGGCCCCTAGAAGTTCTCCATGGGCTCTTGTTTTAATGACTGATTCCCCAGTTGGTGATTTTTGTCTTGGGATACTAGGAACTTTCAGGAGGTGGAAAGGAAGATCTTAGAGGTAGGCCTTTGAAGGTTACACCCTACCACTGGTTTCTGTATCACTCTCTGCTTCACTGATTGCTTTGATATGAATAGTCTCCAATACATAATCCCTCTGCAATGAGCTGAGCTGCTCTGTCAATGCCATCTCCACAATGAGTGACTGAAACCCTTTGAAACCATTTCAGGCATTATGGCCAGTGACATAAAAGTAACAAATATTCACTTTTTACTCAGATTTTTTCCAAAAGCAATAATTTAACCCACTTCCTCTCTTTTTTACTCTGGATTTGCTATGTAGCCAGCAAAGACATTGAGCTTCTGATCCTCCTACTTCCACACCCACCCAAGTGCTGGGATTACAGGTGTGCATCACCACACCTGGTTTATGTTGTGTTGGGGAGTTGAACACAGGGACTCATGCATACTATACAACTACTCTGCCAACTGAGCTACATATACAAACCTTTAATATCTTTTTATTGATCATTTCAATATTTACTTACTAATATTGAATTAACAGTATACATTGTTACTTGTTTTGTTTTCAATTTTAGACATTATCTAAGAATTAGTTGATTTTTATACCTGTGCCATTATCTCAACTTTCAAATTTTGCTAAACAACAACTTTAGTTTAATCAATATCTGTGTTACATTATCATGACTATGCAAATGTTATTCATGGCTGAGCAATGTAATATTTATAACTTACAATTACTTTTCCCTTTGTGTACAACTTTGTTCTCCCTGAGGCTATTACTAATTTTTCCTTCTGCTTAGATTGCTATTTTTTTTACATCAGCAAATCATCCCAAAGCCTTTTCCATTTTTTAAAACATATTTTTTTGTTTAGTTTCCACATAGATCATGTGTTTTCTATTTAACTGATATTTTGAATGATCTTCTGAGCTGTTAGGTGAGATCCATCTTGGATTAAAAGACCCCTTATGCTATGAGCATAATCCTTATCAGTTATTCTGGGTTTATTTCTACCTGCTGTTCCCATGTTTCTCATTACTTCCCAAGAAAGAAGTCATAAAATGTTTTTAAAAAGTCTTTGCATATCTGAAAAATCATTAAGTGTACAGATTTTTGATTGATGTTTTAGCTAGGCATAGAGCTGTAGTTTAGAAATAAAGTTCTTTCTGCCCACTATCTTCTCATATTGTTATTAAGAAATTTGGAATATTTTTGACTGCTTGCTATATGAATGACTCCCTTTTCTTCCTTATCTTATGAGTTATATCTCTGCATCCTTAGTGTTCTGAATACCATTTGACTTGGGTTTGTTTTCATTCATTGCATTGGATGTTTTTTAAATTTTCAAATCAGGAAAATTATGCTCTATTTGCATATTCTTGATTTATTTTTGTGCCTTCCATCATCTTTGTTCCTTTGTTCCCAGAACTTGAAAATTTTTAAATGTTATTACCAAATGGAGATGCATATATTGTACTATAATCATGACTTTATGTAACCTTGATGATATTCATAATTTTAAAACATTAATTTTTTACTGTATAAATTTAAGGAATACCACATGTTACTTTGATGTGCATCTACATGGTAAGATAGTTATTACAGGTGAGTAATTTATTGTATCTCTAGATTTATTCACCTTCCATTACTGCAAAATGTTTCTCTGTTGACCTGCATTGCTCTATTCCATACCTTTTATATCTACCTGTCATAACTATCATTTTACCCTTTTTTATATAATATTTTATTCAAAAAAGACTTTTTTTCCTTTTACATACCAACCTGTTCTCCCTCCCTCCTCTTCTCCCACTCCCCCCACCTACCTGCAATCCCACCCCCATCTCCTCCTCATTGAGAGTAAGACCTCCCTTGGGTAGTCATCATAGGCTATTATACCATGTTGGGACTACACCTAGCCTCTCCTTCCTGCATGAAGGCTGAATAAGGTATTGCACCACAGGGAATGGGGTCTACAAAAGCCAGTTTGTATACCCAGGGTAGGTTTTGGTTCCATTGCCAGGGGACCCACAAACACATGAACCCATGTAAGTTTCATCCATATTCAGAGGGCCTAGTTCAGTCCCATGTGGGCTCCCCAGCTATCAGTTCAGAGTCCATGAGCTCCCATTAGATGGGTCAGATATTTCTGTGGTTTTTCCCATCATGATTCTGACCCCTCTTGCTCTTATAATCCTTCCTTCCTCTCTTCAACTGAACTTCAGGATTTTGGCCAAGTACTTGTCTGTGAGCCTCTGCATCTGCTTCCATCAGTCACTGGATGTATGTTTTATGATGACAATTAGGGTAGACACCAATCTGAGTACAGGGGAAGGCTAGTTCAAGAACCCTCTCCACCATTGCTATGAGTCTTAGCTGGGGACAATCTTGTGAATTCCTAGGGTTTTCCCTCGCTGCAAATTTCTCCCCATCCCCTTAATGGTAGACTCTGTCAAGATATCTCTTTCATTGCTCTCCCTCCCCATTTCTCCCACATGTTTCCACCTCCCATCCCATCCCATCCCCTCCCCTCCATTCCCCCTTCTCGGTTTGCTCAGGAGATCTTAACCCTTTCCCCTTCCTAGGGCGATCCATGTGTGTCCCTCTTAGTGTCCCCCTCTTTACCTAGCTTCTCTGGGGTTATGGATTGTAGCCCAGTTATACTTTGCTTCTGACATTCACTTATGAGTGAGTACATACCATGTTTGTCTTTCTGGGTCTGGGTTACCTTACTCAGGATGTTTTTTTTCTCGTTCCATCCATTTGCCTAAAAATTTCATGACATTGTTTTTTACTGCTGCATAATACTGCATTGTATAAATGTACCACATTTTCTTTATCCATTCTTCTGTTGAAGGGTATCTAGGTTGTTTCCAGATTCAGCTATTACAAATAATGCTGCTATGAACATGGTTGAGGAGATGTCCTTGTGGTGTGGCTTAGCAACTTTTGGGTATATGTCCAGGAGTGGTATTGCCGGGTCTTGAAGTAGGTGGATTCCCAATTTTCTAAGATATCTGCCATACTGATTTTCCAGAGTGGCTTATAGGATTGCATTCCCACCAGCAGTGGAGGAGTGTTCCCACTTTTTCCATATCTTCTCCAACATAAGCTGTCATTTGTATTTTTTTTATCTTAGTCATTCTGACATTCTGGTATCTCAGAGTTGTTTTGATTAGCATTTCCCTGATGGCTAAGAATGTTGAATATTTCTTTAAATGTCTTTTGGCCATTTGAGATTCTTCTGTTGAGAATTCTTTGTTTAGCTCTGTAGCCCATTTTTTAATTGGATTATTTGATATTTTGCTGTCTACTTTCTTGAGTTCTTTATATATTTTAGAGATCAGCCCTCTATCTGATGTGGGGTTAGTAAAGATCTTTTCCAATTTTGTAGGATGCCTTTTTTGTCTTATTGACAGTGTTCTTCACCTTACAGAAGCTTTTCAGTTTCAAGAGGTCCCATTTCTTAATTGTTGCTCTCAGTGTCTGTGCTACTGGTGTTATATTTAGGAAGTGATCTCCTGTGCCAAGACGTTCAAGACTATTTCCCACTTTCTTTTCTGTGAGATTCAGTGTAACTGGATTTATGTTGAGGTCTTTGATCCATTTGGACTTGAGTTTTGTACATGGTGATAGATAAGGATTTATTTTTATTCTTCTACATGTAGATATCAAGTTATGCCAGCACCATTTGTTGAAGATACTTTCTTTTTTCCATTGTATAATTTTGGCCTTTTTTTGGTCAAAAATCAGGTGTTCATAGGTATTCAGATTAATGTCAAGGTCTTCAATTCAATTCCATTGGTCCACATGTCAGTTTTTATGCCAGTACCAATCTGCTTTTTTTACTATAGCTCTATAGTAAACTTTGAGTTCAGGGAAAGTGATGCCTACAGAAACTGCTTTCTTATAAAGGATTGTTTTAGCTATCCTAGGTTATTTTTTCCATATGAAGTTGAGTATTGTTCTTTGGAAATCGGTGGAGAATTGTGTTGGGATTTTGATGGGGATTGCATTGAATCTGTAGATTGCTTTTGGTAAGATTGCCATTTTTACTATTAATCCTACCTATTCATGAGCATGGGAGATCTTTCTATTTTCTGATACCTTCTTCAGCTTCTTTCTTCAAGGACTTAAAGTTCTTGTACTACAAGTCTTTCACTTGTTTGTTTAGAGTTACCCTAAGATATTTTATGTTATTTGTATCTATTGTAAAGGATATTTCTCTAATTTCTTTCTCAGCCCATTTATCATTTGTATATAGGAGGGCCACTGATTTTTTTGAGTTAATCTTGTTTCCTGCCACATTACTGAAGGTGTTCATCAGCTGTAAGAGTTCCCTGGCAGAATTTTTGGGGTCACTTATGTAGACTATCATATCATCTACAAATAGCAAAAGTTTGACTTCTTCCTTTCCAATTTTACCCCTTTGATCTCCTTTTATTGTCTTATTGCTCTAGCTAGAACTTTGAGTACTATATTGAATAGGTATGGGGAGAGTGGACAGCCTTGTCTTGTTCCTGATTTTAGTGGAATTGCTTTG